TTCTTTACCAGAGTTACTGTCAAACAACTGTGTTTTTTTTCAAGCTATAGTCTTGTTGAACCAGAGTCTAGTTCTGCCAGTACGAGCAAAATAATTTAGGTATTGTAACTGTCTTATGGCCAATGTGTTCTTAACGGCACTTTTTACACTGATAAACCTACGGTATTGCAGTGGGAAATCCACTGGCCATGTCCAGCACAATTTCTTTTTTTAGAGAATATATTGAAAGTGAATTATTAACATAGACTTTACTTCATTATTGTTGACATGTGTAGAGGGTGACTTTTCCGGTTGTCCAAAATAGCATTTCCAGCCTTTTTACAGAATTTCAGTAAGTTTTAACTTTCCGACAAGTTATAACTCATTGGGAAATAGAAGGTAATCGTTCTTTAATGTTCTCATTACTACTTGTCATGACCGTGTGTGTGTGTGTGTGTGTGTGTGTGTGTGTGTGTGTGTGTGTGTCATCCAAGTTTAATAGATAAAATAACAGGGATTATTTTCAGAGATCAACATTACCAGTATCAAGTCGTTTTAATAGTATATTTTACTGCCAGAATATCATGTTTACGGAGTCTAGATGTCACTATGAGTATTTTATTGAATGCTTCGTGCCAGCTTGTCATGGAAACCTATAATAAACTCGATGCATATCAGTCACTGCACGATCCGAGAAAGGCATATTGCATAACCCCCCGCCCCCTGTGCCTCAGTGTATGCAAAAGGAATAGTGCAGAGTGCGGCGTAAGTTGATAATATAATTAAATGTTAATGTTGAAGATTTGAAGGGAATCAGAAGTCATTCTCCAGTTATGAAAGTAGGGTCGCCATTAGTATACTAAGACAAAACACAATAAGTGTCCGGGGCCCAAGACTGTTTAACAGCCTCACACCAGGCATAAGGGGAATTACCGATAGACCCCTGGTTGTCTTCAAGAGGGAGCCGAACAGATACTGAAAGTCGGTACCCGATCAGCCGGGCTGCGGTTCCTACGTTGGACTACTCATGGTAAGCAGTAACAGCCTGGTCGATCAGACCCTGATCCACAGGGAGGCCTGGTCGTGGACCGGGCCGCGGGAGCGTTGATCCCCGGAATGCCCTCCAGGTAGCTACTTGAACCTTGCGCTCCACTCTCGTCCAGTTACGAGCCGAGTCGATGAGGTTCGCCGGTAGTGTCCCGACCCGGGTCTTGTCCAGTTGGTGAACCAGCGACCTGCTACGAGCCGCGTTTTGGGTTAAGTTTGCAGCTACGCCGCTGAGATTTTTGCAAGTTATCCCGGCAATTCCAGGATGCTGATAATCAACAACTGTGACCACAGGTCACCTGCACATGCCAGCTGCTGCTCCCAAACTCTCGTCCTTATTACCATACACAAGCGGTCAAAATTTCAATCCAATAGGATGAGGAGTTCTCGAGTTATGAGCGAAATGAAATATAAAAAAAAACTAGGAGGAAAATAAAGGTACCCCTTCGGGTTTGCCTAATTAAAATAATATGGGTCACAGATGACGAAAAAACTGAGAGACGTTATCTGGTGGGTCACGTAATGTCTGTTATGGTCCTCACTGCCTGACATAACAATTATCCCAGCCATAAAATTTCAGTATTATGGTCGATGCTGGAAACACAGTTGGTGTCCACTGACGGTTCTGTCAGTAATAAACTGATAAAACTGTTCACACAACTCTACCACCGAGTTCTATTATCACCATCATTATCACCAGCATCACCACTTCATCTTCCCCATTCCTCCTGTTCCTCTTCCTCCTGTTCCTCTTCCTCCTGTTCCTCTTCCTCCTGTTCCTCTTCCTCCTGTTCCTCTTCCCTCTCCTCCTCCACTATACCATCACCTTCACGTTGTTTTGGTCATCGCTCCACCAACACCTCATTATTTTTCATTTATCATGATAGTTAATGCTGGTCTTTTTGGATCCTTCATGAAGTTTGAATCTCCTTCAGATCTCAACCACAAAAGAAAACCAACAGCACGCGTGTGTATTTCATGCAGTTTTGAACCAATGGCAAACAAGTGACTGTGTGTTGCCACTTGTGTATCACGGAGTGTGGCTTATGTATCACGGAGTGTGGCTTATGTATCATCCGGCGTTGGAAAGGTTAATTAAATGTGCAGAGCCTAGCGTAGCCGGTAGGCTTTTTTGCAACATAAGATCACAGGGAGGACTTTAGCAGGCCTACTGGCCCATGCTAGGCACATCCAGCTCACACCTACTCGTGAACTTGTTAATCTACAGTGAGTTCTAGAAAAAAAAATAATTTTTTACCGTATAGAAAATTCAAAGCTGGTGAAGCTGTCGTTACTTTCGTAATTTTTTTAGTTGACTGCTTTGAGCAGGGTCGTGGCCACGAGGAAGCAGGAAGCACAGAAAGTCACTTTCTCGTGGGTATAAATGTATGTACTGTAGCGGTTTTAAAATAATTGGAGCCAATTTGTATCCAATTTAATCTGAAATCGCCTCTCTTGAAGCCTATTCCTGCTGAAGTTAAGGGACCTATTGGCTTTTCCCTTCTGTACTTTGTAGTTCTGTACTTTTCCCTTCTGTATTTTTTCCCTTACGTACTTTGCGGAGACGATTGCATTATTATTATTATTATTATTATTATTATTATTATTATTATTATTATTATTATTATTCTGACTTTTAGCGTGTTCCTGTTAAAGTTTCAAGCACAGCTCTCGGGCTTGGGGAGAAATGGACCGTCAGACTAAAAAAATATTTTAACTGTCACAAATTGTGTAGTGATGTTTTTTTTAATTAAGGGGGGGGGGGTGGACTGGTGAGCCGGTGGAAGGCCTCGGTCAGATGACCAAAGGTTCCAGTTGCGGGTCCTCATATGACTAAGACCCGCGTCAGGAAATACTTGCCCTGTTTCCTAAGTAGTCTTACCTTACCTAACCCTGTAACCACTACATTGTTACTGTCACACATTGTTACTGTCACACATTGTTACTGTCACACATTGTTACTGTCACACATTGTTACTGTCACACATTGTTACTGTCACACATTGTTACTGTCACACATTGTTACTGTCACACATTGTTACTGTCACACATTGTTACGTACACATTGTTACTGTCACACATTGTTACTGTCACACATTGTTACTGTCACACATGTACTGTCACACATGTTACTGTACACATTGTTACTGTCACACATTGTTACTGTCACACATTGTTACTGTCACACATTGTTACTGTCACACAACGTTACTATCACACTGTCACTGTCTACAGTATATTTATTGCGTTTATAATCAGAACAAACTCAAAGTTTTTCATAATTGGATAATCCTCATCAGTGTACATGGAGCCTACTCACCTCTGTGTATAACTCGATCATATTCAGTCACTGTGTATAACTAGAATATAAACTCAAGTTTTCGAATAACTAGGCATCCCCGAAACCCTCTTCAGGTATAGTGTGTGTGTATATATATATATATATTATATATATATATATATATATATTATATATAAATATATATTATATATATATATATATATATATATATATATAAAATGTCGTGCCGAATAGGCAGAACTTGCGATCTTGCTTAAATAGCAACGCTCATCTTGCCATATAGGACAAGCGAAAATTGTGTATGCAATAATTTCGCAAAATCATTCTGAACCTAACGAAAAAAATATATTTCACTGTGTTTGTTTGTATTAAATTATTGTAACAAATCTAAAATATATTAGTTGGGTTAGGCTAAAATACATGTTCTTGTTATAATAGGTTAGGTAAGTTTCTAAGATACTTTGGTGCAAAATTATAAATTTTTACATCAACATAATGAAAAAAATATATCTTTAAACGTATAAGAGAAAATTTCAGAAAGGACTTATTTTAAATGAGTTCTTGCTAATTGACCAGTTTTACATATTAGGCACGACATATATATAATATATATATATAATATATATATATATAATATATATATATATATATATATATATATATATATATATATATATAAACACTGATCTCTGGCTGAAGGAGACTCGAACCTTGGAATAAGGTACGCAGTGCTTTACCAATCTACCCACACTGGACCAATACCTTGGAGTCCAGCTTGCACTAGATCAAAGTCCAGCGCAAGCTGGACTCCAAGGTATTGGTCCAGTGTGGGTAGATTGGTAAAGCACTGCGTACCTTGTTCCAAGGTTCGTAGGTTCGAGTCTCCTTTGCCTGCCTGCTCTTGCGAATTCCTTATATATATATTTATATAATATGCCTATCCTATCATCCTCATGATTACCGAGAGAATACGACTGATGACTAACTACTGTTAGCTATAACGAGTTTTGTATTACGTGTTATTGCGCTGCATTAGTCAATATGTATTAGTGCTAAAATAGTGATTTTTCTATCAATATTCATGACCGGGCAAACACAGAGTTGCAATTCTGAGTTATCTTTAGTATGGTAAAACAGGACAAGAGGGAAAAGTTTGCATAAGAGAATTCTTACAGCACAGTTTACTAGGATCATTTATTATATAGAGTAAAACGTCGACAGCATTGTTTCCTCTCTTATAAACATGAACATAAGGGCTATTTTAGGGAATTTACAAAGAGATCATTCTGTACAATATAAATAGCTTATACGGGAGTAATTATCAAGGCAATAATGTAAACCCATCATTTAGTAAAACATGAAAAGTCAGAATAAGGGTCCAATTTCATATTTTTTTATAGGTCTTGGCTCTAAAGCAAAAAAAAAAAAAAATCCTTACCTACGAGACACCCTACAAAAAAAAAAACAGTACAGAAACACTATGAAAATACTACAGAATACGTCAGTGGAAGCAACAAATAAGGCTATAGATCAAGATATAGCAGTGTTTACATTAGTTCGAGGATAAACAAACAGAACCCAAGCTGTTAAATACTCCAGTCGATCTAATGTTGAAGTTTAACCCTAGCAAGCACAGGTACAAGAATAAAGTTAATGTTACCACCAAATGTACCTTCTTGAGCCGCCTACTGATGCTACTGCTGCTGATGGTGCTGCTGATGCTGCTAGTGATGCTACTGCTGCTGATGCTGCTAGTGATGCTACTGATGCTACTGCTGCTGTAGCGTGAGTTATTGACAAGGTCACTTGTCACCGCTGTGGAACCTCGCTTATTTCCGAGCTATGTACAGTAGAGTATTCCTTTGTATGTGGCTGTAGCTCACTGCCTGGTCGTATACCTCTTATATCTCTCTGTTTCTTACCTCGTATAAGTTTTTACTGTGACGAACCATTTTTGTTTGCCTGTTAACTGTGCTGGTAACGTAAGACACCATACATGATCATCTCTTTCTCACTAAAGACCAGCAGACAATACTTTTTTGTGCTCATAATTTATTAAAAAAAATAGACGAGTTCTTCCTTGTTTCCACTTTTCATGTCACTGCTAATTTTGTTTTACTGTGAAAATCTCGACACTCGAAATGTGTTAGTTATACATAAATTAACTTCTTGGGAAATTAAGCTTGTAAATTAAAATTGTCTTAAAAATGATCACTTGTATTGTTTTTTAAATTATTTTGCGATAATTTACATAGTTACATCTTTGCAATGCACGCAGATATAGTGTATAGAAAACGGAGCGCAGGAGGCAGGCGTGTGTATGGTATGAAGTTGAGAGTGTGAGTGAGTGTACCATGACACTACTACCATGACTCGTAGGGGTCGAGACCCACTCGGCACGGTGAAGGCTGTTATGGTGGGAAGGGGAGGTAGGGGTGAATGGTGGTAGTGGTGGGTTAATGGTTGGAGGGAAGGGGTAGTGGTAAACAGAGTTAAGTCGGAAGCTGCCACAGCGAAAAGCTCTGTTCCACAAGGCACAGTACTCTCACCCATCCTGTTCCTCATCCTTATATCAGATATACACAGATGTAAACCATAACACCGTGTTATCCACTGAAGACACGGTAAATCTCCGAGCAGATATAAACCAGGCTTTCCAATTGGCAACGGGAAACTGATGTTCAACGAAGACGAATTTCAACTACTCCGTTATGAAAAAAAAAAATGGAGGAAATAGCTAGAACTGAGTATACTATAGACTTTAATCATATAGTAGAGCGGAAAAGTAGTGTGAAAGACCTGGGAGTGTTCATGTCAGAAAATCTCACCTTCAAGAATCACAACAGTGTCACTATCACAACTGCGAGGAAAATGATAGGATGGATAATGAGAACCTTCAAAACAAGAGATGCCAAGCCAGTGGTGATCCTATTCATATCACTCGTTCTTTCTAGGTTGGAATACTGCTGTGCACGAACAGCTCCATTCAAGGCAGGTGAAATTGCAGATCTAGAGAATGTACATACAAGTTCCGTCAGACACCTCAAACATCTTAATTACTGGGAATTCTGGGAACCACTTGACCTGTACTTACTGGAGCCCAGGCGAGATACATCATAATCTACACCTGGAAAATCCTAGAGGGACTGGTCCCAAATCTGCACACAAATCACTCCCTACGAAAGCAAAAGACTGGGCAGACGGTGCAACATACCCCGAATGAAAAGTAGGGGCGCCATTAGCACACTAAGAGACAACACAAGTGTCCGGAGCCCAAGACTGTTCAGCAGCCTCGCACCATTCATACAGGGAATTACCAATAGACCCCTGACTGCCTTCTAGAGGAAGCTGCATAGATACCTGAAGTCGGTACACGATCAGCCGGGCTGTGGTTCGTACTTTGGACTACGTGCGACCAGCAGTAACAGCATGGTTGATCAGACCCTGATCCACCTCGAGGCCTAGTCAAGGACTGGATGGCGGGGGGCGTTCACCCCCGGAACACCCTCTAATAAATATTCTCAACTGTACATTATTTTTTTCCACATCACGTCGGTATCAGTGTTAATTATTGTTTTTTTTTTATTCACGTGTAATAATAATATTTTAAAAGCATTGTTATCGGTAGCTTTTCACCGATACCACAAAAATAACCATTAACCACCGATACCGATACCAGTGTCGATAGTTTTGTTTGCTTAAATAATGCTGTAGATGTAGTTACAATAATTGTCTCTAGTATATTCTCTTAAAAACTATGTTGTACTTACCTGGAGTTTACCTGGAGAGGGTTTCGAGGGTCGACGCCCCTGCGGTCTGAGACCAAGCCTCATGGTGGATCAGGGTCTGATCAACCAGGCTGTTACTGCTCCCTCTGAACTCTGTACATATTGTATATTGATTGTACAAATGTTATGGTGGAGAGGGGATGGGAATATATGTTAAATCAAAGTTGTGTTACAAGCGGGTACCACACGCCGGGTACCACACGCCGGGTACCACACGCCGGGTACCACACGCCGGGTACCACACGCCGGGTACCACACGCCGGGTACCACACGCGGGGTACCACACGCCGGGTACCACACGCCGGGTACCACACACCGGGCACCACACACCGGGTACCACACGCGGGGTACCACACGCGGGGTACCACACGCCGGGTACCACACGCGGGACCACACACGCGGGTACCACACGCGGGTACCACACGCCGGGTACCACACGCCGGGTACCACACGCCGGGTACCACACGCGGGTACCACACGCCGGGTACCACACGCGGGTACCACACACCGGGTACCACACGCGGGTACCACACGCCGGGGTACCACACGCCGGGTACCACACGCCGGGTCACACCACGGTACACACGCCGGGTACCACACGCCGGGTACCACACGCCGGGTACCACACGCCGGGTACCACACGCGGGCACACACGGTACCACACACGGGTACCACACGCGGGTACCACACATCAGGACAGGGGTACCACACGCGGGTACCAACGCCGGGGTACCACACGCCGGGTACCACACGCGGGGTACCAACCCGGGTACCACACGCGGGTACCACACACGGGTACCACACGCGGGGTACCACACGCCGGGTACCACACGCGGGGTACCACACGCCGGGTACCACACGCCGGGTACCACACGCGGGGTACCACACGCCGGGTACCACACCCGGGTACCACACGCCGGGTACCACACGCCGGGTACCACACACCGGGCACCACACGCCGGGTACCACACGCCGGGTACCACACGCCGGGTACCACACGCCGGGTACCACACGCCGGGTACCACACGCCTTTGAAACAGGTACACACCTGGTACACATGCGTAAACTACCCGTACACAGCCGGTAAAAGGCAACACACCGATATAAACCATACCACGGGTCGGGGATAGAACTCGCGACCGTGTCATTACGATTTCGCGAGTCACAAATGTAGTATAATGCGATGCTTTATTGACTGCATTTGTGTTTATTTTTTATTTTCACTGCCCTTGTTCCAGTCTTCGTATTATGTGACTTTGTAAATGGTCTAAGACCGAAACGTCGTGGTCAGCTCCTCTCTCCCATGTGCGGGTTATTTGTGTATTGTTCCAGTCACGATATTGTGCATTTTTGTAAAGTAAAAGGACACAAGTGCAACTAATGTGACATTTTATTGTGGCAACGTTTCGCCCTCCAGGAGCTTTATCAAGCCGTTACAAACAATACATGGACACAGGGTATATACAAGCTCAGAGTGAGGTGCAACACTAGTGGTAGTAGTGACGTAAGTTGCAGTAGTAATACAATTTGCATTACAGTTGTGCCTTTTCGTTATTTATTTGTATTATGTTCTTGTAATGTTTTGTTGAGGTCACTGGAAGGGTAAACGTCTATAATTAAAGACACCCAGATGTTGCACATGTGTCAGTGCGTCAAAATTGTTTATGAACGCATTTGCTAATGATGCTAAATTCCTATCCAAGATGTATCCCTGCAGGGAGGCATGGACGTGCTGGTTAACTGAACGAGTGATGGATAACTAAAGTGTAATAAATACTTGTCAGTACTCGATAATAACCTACGTGGAGACGGACTCAGGAGGTTGATTGATCTGTATGTTTCGATTAACTTCTGGGGTCTTCTTCAGCAGACGAAGAGGAACCCAATAAGTGGGTCGAAAATCAATCTTTTGAGTTAAGTCTCCGTGTGAGTTATTCAGCAAGTGGAATTATGGATAGTGGAACTTAATGTGGGTAAGTGCTGTGATGAAAAATAAAGAAAACTGAAAATAGGGTGCAAGAAGAATACAGATTGCGAAAATATGAAATGAAAATACGAAATGTATCATGGAAAGAGAGGGACAATAGAGACAATACCTGAAAGCTAAGAGATGAGAGGTGCAGGAAGAATAACTGCAAGTTGTGCACGAACAATGGGTTGCTATAAGACGAGGCAGTAACTGCTACAATCAGTGGGACTTTACTAACGTATAACAGGAGTGATTGTATGTTGAAGATGGGGCACCACGAACCCAACTTTGCTCTTATATCTACTGGTAAATATATATGCATAGGTAAATCATCTTAAATTCTCATTTTCTCTCTCTCTCTCCTCTCTCTCTCTCTTTCTCTTTTTTTTTTACACAGGGTTTGACAAGGTTAAGGATCCCTAGCTTTATTGACAAGCTATTTACAGGTTAAGGATTCCTAACTTTATTGGCAAGCTAAGAGCTGTTACCTACATCAGCTCATTTGAAAGCAGTTTTATTGTTATGAGACATACAAGTAGGGAATAGGATGAAGTTGGAGCCATCTGTGGGTCAGCATTTTCATTTGATCAACTGACTATCTCGTTGACATCATTATGCTGTACGAATGTGCTCCATACTCGAGTCATCCTAGGTATATATGATCTCAGATGGAGTGATGTTCGGGAGAAGGGTACAGCCAGATTGAAGTTGCTGCTTTCTGCCCGTCTTGTGGCATAAAAGCTTGTTTCACGCTGTCCTCGAAGTGGATCCAAGTGTGGTATCTTGACAATATTGGCCTTGTACATAACAGTAAGGCCACCCACATCCCTCCTATGTTGAAGGCTCTGCTGAAATGACAGATCTATCCAGGATGGGTCCAGGCGAGAGATGAGATGTCTTGCTGTTCTCTACTCTGCCAAGCAGTCGCAGATGAGAGGGGGGGGGGCAGCAAACCAAGAAAGTGGAGCATACTCAAGGTGTGATCGTACTTGTGCCTCGTACAGAATCTTGCAACCCCTACTGTCAAGCAGATGCGAGATACGGCGAAGTGCTGTAAGCTTCCTGGCTGCCTTGTTTGCAAGATTTACAACATGGTTCTTCATGGTTAGTTTGGAGTCAATTTTCACCCCAAGGATATCAACTTCTTCTCCAGGTGCCAACACCCTCCCATTCATCCTTACTACTGCACCAGCATTACCATCATGGTGCCTAGAGACGATCATTCTCTCTCTCTCTCTCTCTCTCTCTTCTCTCTCTCTCTCTCTCTCTCTCTCTCTCTCTCTCTCTCTCTCTCTCTCTCTCTCTCTCTCTCTCTCTCTCTCTCTCTCTCTCTCTCTCTCTCTCTCTCTCTCCTCTCTTCTCGCTCTCTCCTCTCTCTCTCTCTCTCTCTCTCTCTCTCTCTCTCTCTCTCTCTCTCTCTCTCTGAGACGAGTCATAGGGATGTTAGGAAGTACTTTTCAGCCTTCAAGTCGTCAGGAAGTGGAACAATCTGGAGTGATGTAGTGGAGGCAGGACCCATACATGGGTTTAAGGAGATGTACGATAAAGCTCGTGGAGCAGGGACAGAG